ACATTGATAGAGACACCTCAATTGTCACTGACAATGCAAACTTTTTTAAGCCTTTCATAAGTAACTCGGATGTCTGCAATATATGAATCTTCCTAGATGAGCGCATTGATATCTTACATCTATCTCTTTACAGCTTTTTTTATGGAAAATATGAATTTTCTTTACTCTCTTAGTCTATGAAAGTGTTTTTTTTTTTGTTGCTTTTTGTAATCAAGATTTCTCTAGCAGTTAATGCTTTTTGTTATGAATATTTTTTTTCTCTTTGGTTTGTTTTTTACTATTCTCTCTCTGATATTATACTCACTCTTATTTTTATGCTTTAAGATATTTAATCAAGAACTATTTTGAAATGTACAAATGAATGGTAATAGTAAGATTATTTTGTTTACAGCATTTCTGATTAGACTTTATTGTTATTCTCTACAATGCTATGTCATATAATACAGGAATAGAATAAGTAAATACTATAACTGATACTGCAGTATTATAGTTCCTGTTTACATGAGTGCAAACTTAACAAACTTAAATTGTCGTGAAACCTTTCCTCTTTCATTAACATTAACTGGCAGAAATGTCATCTGAAAAAATTGTTTAAGCTGGCTGGTGATTAGTAGTCCAAAATCCACTAACTGTCCAAAATTCACTGCTTATGGGACTGATTATTAATAAGCCACCAATGTCTTCACACTCTTCCTGTGTAGCATGTATGTATTCTAACTGGCTAAGTGGCATCCCATTCAACCTTTTATTTATATGTCCTGATACAAAAATCTGTTGCCAACATTTTAATGCTCACGAGAACACAGAAGTAACACAAGAAATAAGATCATAAACTTGAAGATTAGTTTGTGAGAACCTACTCTTTGTCAGACAAAACCCATCAGGCTAGTGAAAGTACAGCTGTGCTTTAGTATTTTGGCAATTATGTATTAAAGATGATGTACAGCTTTTACTATTTAGTATTTTTCCACGCATTTGTTTAGTGTTATTAGTATGGACAGTTTATTTAGATGTAACAAACATATACCATATTGTATTTCCTAACATGTGAAGGATTCATGCTGAATAAATTACAATCAGAGCAATGGAGGGAAGAATGGGAAAGCACACAATTATGCCAAAGTCATAATCACAATCAGACCATGCATTGTCCTTCCAGACATTGTGCTAAATCAGTAGTCGAAGTACAGTAAGAGAATTATGATGAATTAAAAAAATGATGTAAGACATAAATGTTAATTTAATTATTTAACTGTAGTATACAGAAAGAGATTCACATTGGATTTGAAGGGTGTCACTGGTTCAACAAATCTGTAGAAGATGGAATTGAGCAATTATCAGTAGAAATCTTCCTGAATCAGTAACCCTTCCAAGCAGATACTCAGGTTTAAGCCAGTAGGTTGTTCATGGTCAATCTGATATCTTGCATACTGATAGTTTGGACCAAGGGAATGTTCAGTTTACTGCCATGGAACTTATGAAGACATTGTCATATATAAGGGGTTAAAAGTACTTTGCCATATCACCAGAATTGTTATCTGGTAGAAGATATAATTTAGATTAGTTTGGCAATATCTGTTGTGAGGTTAACTCATAGGGGTGGGCTTAATTTCTCATTTAATATCTACTGAGAACTAAATATTTTTTTAGAAATATCACAAGTTTAACCTTTGTAACAAAGACTGTAACAATAATAATAGCAGTCATTAAAGTGTTACTTGTGATTATGATAATGATAGTTGATTATCATGCTGCCAGCTACCCAATAACTTTGGCCTATGTAGGCAAGTGCATCAGCTGAGTACTTTTGTGGTTAAACAGAGATATGAGGGGCAAGTACTTCTGCCATAAATTCATAAAATATATCTCCAAAATAGAATTGTTGCCCACCTCTTCCAACAAAGGACATTCTAGAACATTATCCTTGCAGAAGACAAGCAAATGGACATATGTATTACCTGATTAAGAGGTGGGTACTGGAGCAATGAGAGGCTTGCCATTGAGGATAACACTGGAAATACTAGGGTAGAGATTTTGCCATAGCTTGTGTACATATGTAAATTCTTCACTTATATTGGGTAAGGACAGCAAGCTTCAAAGATCACTTCACATATTTTAACTTACTTCAATGATAATAATTTACTTTAAGCACTGCCTGCTTCTTTGTCACTTACAGCCATTGTCATATACTCCACAACCAACATTGTTTCAGTTGCTTCATTCTTAATCCACTAGTTTATTCAGAAAATATGTAATGTAGAAATTCCTTTCATTGAAATTTATTTTGCTCATTTATCTTAAACTTGTAAATTGATCACTCCTTTCACCCCCAAACATTCTCACAATGCAATTTTAGATAATTTATAATTTTTTGGTCTTCAGCAAGCTCACTTATGGACAGTCCATCATTAGTAAGAATAATGACAAAGCCTTTGTGGAAGTTATGTATAGATTAGATTCACTTTGGAAGTATAAGTAGAAATTCTAATGCCCATAAAGATGACCATAGGGAAGAGACCAGAATACAGTTTATCCTGTTGGCAATGGGTGACATCCTATCACAGCATGGTGGATATTTCCAGATTCTGGGTGATGCCCCATCCTGTTCATGTCCTGATTGCTGGGATGGGGTCACCAAGGGCTGGAGTAGTGTACACTAATGTATACTCTTCCTCACCAGACTTCACAGAAAATTTTATTTGTCATTTATGGGTTCATGAACTGTGTTTTGTAATCATATAGGGGTAGGCTATTTTTAGGTTAATATATCAAAATGGTCAAATTACCTTCAAGATATTATTTAGCAGATTATGGAGAGGAGGGACTTACAGTATGGTTTACCATTACAAGATTCAACATCAAAATATATTTTTTACTCCTTGAAAAAAGAAGGTACTGTTCTGCTGGATTAGTTAACACAAATCATTCTTTATCTCCTGTTTTACAAAAAAAAGTTTTTTATTTATTTTTGCATTATTAGTTTTAGTATGAGGTATTAGTGTCTTAGTAAAATTGTTAGGTGTATTAGGTGTATTGAACACAAGTGCCAATGCTGTGATCATTATCCAGAGCTAGTGGTATGACATTGCAGTGTCATAATATTACCACTATATATCAATGTTGGAGTTACAGTGTATATTCAGATTTTTTAACTGTCCAATATCTGGCCATTTTCAATTCTATAGATAACTCAAGTAGTGAAAGATAGTACTTAGAATTGCTTCCCCATTGGGGACAGTAGGCTTAGGAATCATATGTGGTTTGTTGTTAACCCATTGACATCTTTCTGTAATGTTAATGGGTATCATGAATGCATCAGACTATGAAAGAACAATGTGATACATTATTATAGAGCTTCTTATTTAGATTTTTCTGTATTTAGAACTGAATAGTAATCACCTTGTATAATTTATGCATAGGCTTATACACATAATTATTCATTGAATTAAAAGTATTTGTTTGGATAGATAAACTATGCTTGCTAAATACATAGTTGCTATACTTTTATTACTCACTATATCATACATTGTTTTAAAAAAAATCATAGTAGATATAACCTATTAGAGTTGAGATCAACTGTTCATAGTTCACAAAACCAATCAGATGGTTTGGAAGCTCTTAAGCTATTAAGAATTTGCTCTTATTATTTTCCATTCTGTCCCAGAAATTGATGTTGCCTAGTGATGAAAAAAAATTACTTCATGTAGTCACAAAGATGGTGAAGTATTTTCTGCCTTAATGGAAATCCTAAGAGTATTGAATAAGAAGTAGGCATAATCATTTGTGAGGAATGTATCAAAACATTACCTATTATTGTCTGATTGTGTATATTGTACAGTAGTTAATTGTGCTGATGAATCAAGATCGTCTCTGATATCATTAAATATTTCATGGATTGTATCAGAAATGCCAAAAGTGGTCCTTTTTTTTGTATTTTGATAATGTGAAAACATTGAAAAATATTTAGATCTCATATGTCCATTATTGCACTGTTTTCTAAGTACTTGCATTAAGTTGCAGTATAGAGTTTTATTTATTGATTCATTTGATATTATTTGATGATTGGTTATGTTGCTGATGCCTTCAAATCAGGAGTTTTTCTGACAGCACAGCACTAGCAGTGTTGTTTTCAATCCAAGTTTTTAAGAGTGCATTTTTTTTTCCTATCCCTGATTTTTTTGTTTGTCACCTCTCCCCTTAGGCACAGCTGGTCCACTCTGTGTCGCTTGTCTCACACCCCGTCACCCCAACCCTCCAGGCTGAGGTAGGACATTCTGGAGGGTGCTCACAGACTTGAGATCAAGGAAATGTTACATAACATGACTTTCACATACAAGACTAGTGTTTATAAATATATGTGTTGTTATGCATTTTTTTCATATGACAACTGTATGATTAATTTTCTCATGAAAAAAAACAACAACATTGCCACAGCTTCTGAAGGCTTTTTTTTTTTATTTGAAAAATACAAGGCTGGAATCTCTTGTATTGATACTTTTTTTCTCTTTACCTTTTCAATATGTGTTAAAACTAAATAATATAACATACCCTACATGTTATATTATTTAGAGCAGCTACAGGGTATTGATGATATTAATTTTGAAAGACATGGAAAGGCATTGAAAATTGATTGATAGCAAGTGATCAAAAGGGATATTGATAAAGTCCGTACCAGTGGTCTCTCAGATTTAGGTTTTTCTTTTGCCATTGACAATTGGCCTACCTGATAAATGTCTTTTGACTAACAGGAAGAATGAAGCCATGATTTGCTCAGAACTGAACTGAAAGAAATAAAGGATAGTTTGATTATGATGAGCATGCTTTGGTTTCTAGTTTCAAAATGGAACTGTAAAAACTTCATAATGAATAATTCTTATATATATATATATATATATTTATATTTATATTTGTATTTATATTTGTATTTATATTTATATTTATATTTGTGTGTGTGTGTGTGTGTGTGTGTGTGTGTGTAGATATATGTATATAAATGTGTATATATGTATGTCTATATGTATATACATACATTTATATGTATATATATGCATATGTATATATGTATATGCATATATACACGTATATATATGTATGTATACATTTATATGTATATATGTATATGTATATATTCATATGTATATGCATATATACATATGTATAGGTATATATACATATGTATATGCATATATACATATGTATATGCATATATACATGTATATATATATATGTACATTTATATGTATATATGTATATACATGCATGTGTATATATATGTATATATGTATAAGGTCTATATGTGTATACATGCATGTGTATATATATGTATATATGTATAAGGTCTATATGTATACATATGTCTTTAAGCATATATATGTATATATATGTATAATGTCTGTATGTATATATGTATATATAAGTCTGTATGTATATATATATGTATACATATATATATATATATATATATATATATATATATATATATATATATATATATATATATATATATATACATATATATATATATATATATATATATATATATATATATATATATATATATATATATATATATATATATATATATATATATATATATACACATATACATATACACAAATAGACATATTTACCTAGTATGAAAGAGAAAATACATGTTTGAATAAAACCAGTGACTTTTGAGAACTGCACATGACTATAGATTTTTTCCTGAAGAGAAAGTGTCCTTTATGAGGCTTGTGGCATTGTCAACTTTAAAGAAAAAAATATATATATATTTATTTATTTTTTAGAACTTCATAAAAAAACTTATATGAAAAAATAAGATTGATTGAAGGGGACCGTCCAATGCAGTTATAAAAAAATATTGTAAATAACACATGGATTATGTTTTGTATAGGTGATTTAAATGCACATTACACAATATGGATGGGAGGGGGAGGCTTAATGACTTCATGAAATTGAAAGTTAATGCATTTTTCAACAAAGAACACTGAAAAAAGTTATAGTAAAAGTAATAAAAGTTCAGTTGACTTAAACTTGTCAGTTCACACTTTGGCTGCCTTGAGTATTTACATTTTCAAATTTTGAATTATTATTTACTGTATTTTTTATTTATGTACTTTTTCTGGTTATCATAATGATTTAATTTTCTCAATCTCTATCAGTATTATCATTATCAACCCAAGATAATTTTTTTTTTTTTTTTTTTTTTTTTTTTCCATCTCGTCCCTAGGAAATTATTGTGTTCACTTTAGTATCATTTTTTAAAAATGTGAAATGTCTTTGCACATAGATGGCTCTGCAAGTACTTAGCCACAAAGGAGTCAATTAGTCAATTAGTAAGAGTTCACTTTTCCTTGAGTTTTTGGGAAAAGTGTTTTTTTTTTTTTTTTTCTTTTTTTACTGTTGCTATCAGTATCGATGCTGTTATATTTGATATGGACATTATAATTTTAACAGTGTTATTGATATTACCAATAGCAATATTAGATACTAGAAAACATTTTAAAAAATCAAGGCAAAGGGTAAACAGGTGAGACAAGTAGTACTCATAATTGGCTCATTGGTGACTTACTACTTGTGTAAAAACAACTCATTATAGACATAACATATACGCACATGCCGTCTTCGGCTGCTTCGGGTTAATTACTATTATGATTACTTTATTGTTGTTTATTGTTTATATGTTTTACTGATTATTATGGTATTTCTAATTTTCATTCTCTCCTACTAGTCATTGTATGATTTTGAGTTTTGTGTATTATGATTTTGTTTATAGATATCAGAATAGATAAGTCATAGAGAACCAGTAGCTAATACATATGAATGTTTTTCCAGTGTTCTTTGAATACGGTGTGATTAATGATGTCCTTGTATTCAACTTTTTAATTTTTTTTTACTCTTGCTTAAATTCCCTTTGATAATGATAATATAGCTTGGTATCTTTATATAGGAATGTATTGCTTTGTCAAGTAGATCTATTCCCTGCTTAATTGAACAAGTTGGATGTAATGTTTCTCCGTGTATTCATATATTGAGTATAGTTGTGGAGATGTACTTTTATTGTTAACACATCTGTCTTTATTGATTTATCCTTTATACAGTAATTTTCTGTGCTAATTATGCACTTCAGTCACATATGCATTATATAATATGTGCATGTACTTTTTAAAAGGTAAGTATGAAAATAAGTTAATAGTATCACAATTTGTCATCTAGAAATGTCTTACTGAATTATAATGATGAAAACCTATGTCTTTTATGTATTTAAAAATACTACCAAAAAGTTGCCAGTCTGTGATTGAAATGGTTATTTATTGTTCAGATTAGTTATTGCTTGATCTGTATTAAACAAAGTTTGGACGGTCCCCTTATGCATATAGTATGAAGGATATGAATTGATATAAAATAGTTTCTGTTCATAAGGGTAGAAAAGTACCCATTTGATATGGTGAATACTTTAACTTCAAAAAGATAAAGATGCTTAAACACACTGTAAATTGGAATTTCATCTCCAGGCTCCTCTGTGCAACAGCAGTAATGCAGCACAGCTTTCAAGTGCTTGCTTATCACCACCAGCATCAGAGGCACCAACTACAGTGGATGGAAATGACACAACTGTGAGACAAAATGGGGCTTCCATGGGTCACTTGTCTGTCCTTGACTCAACGGTTTTCACAGATCTACACTCAAAACAGCTGCCAGCTAGAACAAAGTTTTATGAGTTCTACAATGCTCCTATTAGCAAATTTTGGGCTCATTCTGTAAGATATTATACTTTGAGAAATTATTTATTGTTTATCAATCTCTCCATCCTAATTACTGAAACTTTTTACTTATTTGATGAATTTGAAGAACAGTCCAACTCTTGTGTGAATTCAGCTTAGACTTTCTTATATTCTCTTCAACAGATGGCCTATGTATTCTTCCTGTGTTTATATACCTATCTTGTGCTAGTTAAATTGCCAAAGCAGCCACAGTGGATGGAATGGTATGTTGTTGCTTACATCTCCACACTTCTGTTAGAGAAGATCAGAGAGATACTGTCAACAGAACCAGTTGAACTCAAGTAAGTAAATTTGTAAATGTTGATGTTTAGTCAAAGATGAATGTCAGCATTTGCAGTTAACTCTTATTAGTTATGCAGAAAAGTATTTAATACCTATATATATTCCTGTTAGATAATACTGATATGTGCCAGAGAAATTGAGTGAGATCATTGTGATGTGTGATTATTAGATTTTACCTCTGGATATTTTTTAAAATATGTATATGTTATGGTAGGAAATACTGTATTTATTAATTTCTAAAATCAATTCAAATATATTAGATAAATAAGATGAGCACTAGCTGTATTCTTAATCTTAAGAACATAAAGTGAATTCTAATGATTGTTGTAGACTTCAAAAATTGTTTTGCTCATTCATTTAAAGCCTTTCCTTTTCAGGACAAACTGGCTTAATTTCAGTAGAAATATGTATGATACATTTTCAATAGAAATATGTATAATACATTTTCAATAGAAATATGTATAATATATTGTAGTTTCACCTTTACAGGCAGAAAATAGCAGTATGGTCAGACAAACTCTGGAATGTCTTTGACCTCATATTTACAATACTTTTCTTGATCGGCCTGTGTTTAAGGCTCCAAGAACAAACCATGCAAGCTGGACGTGTCATTTATTGCGTTGACATAATATACTGGTGAGTTCTTATTAAACACTGCAATTGAAGAGCTTGTGTTCTTATGAGTTATGATTGTCTTTCAGTAACAGAAATTTGATTTAGGAATAGTTTTTATTTCTATTCTTTTCTGTAATTCCACAGGTACTTAAGAGTTCTAGAGATCTTGTCAGCTAATAAATACCTGGGTCCACTTGTGATGATGATGGGGAAGATGATAAAAAACATGGCATATTTTGTGGTGTTATTGCTAGTTGTCCTGATGGCTTTTGGAGTGTGTCGGCAAAGCATACTGTTTCCAAATGAGGAACCACATTGGAGATTGGCAAGACATATATTTTATCAGGTACATATTTCTTATAATGTACATTATAATAAATGATTGCTTATGTGTACCTCTATTGATGACTTTACTTATCTTTTGTTATAGACATAGCTTAGAATTTTGTGTGTCTCTTTTAGATATATTGATTATTTTTTCATGTAAAGTATAAAAGTCAAAGGGTCTGTTGTCAGGCTTATGTACATTTAAACTGAAAAATAAGTCCCTTGATTTAGATTATTCGAGATACAGTGATTTACGTAGACAAAGTTTAGAAATGATTTTAGTCTGTGTTAACACTCTTTTCCAGCCATACTTCATGCTTTATGGTGAAGTGTTTGCCGGAGACATTGACCCCGATTGTGGTGGCGAAGACCAAGTTCCTTGCCATCCTGGACGTTGGATCACTCCCACAGTTATGTCCATGTACCTCCTAGTGGCTAACATCCTCCTCATCAATCTCCTCATTGCTGTATTTAATAACATTTTCACTTCAGTCAATGCCATCTCTCACCAAGTCTGGATGTTTCAGCGATTTCAGGTGTGTTGTAAGCCTTTATATTAGGGAAAAAGATGTCAAATGTGCTTTGTGGGGACATACATCCAGTACAGTATTTATGAAATTTTAAGATTACACTACAAATATCACAAGAAAAATATGGAAAGTGATATAACATTACAGCTAATGTTTATCCTTATGGACATTGATATATATGCATATAAAGCTTCCTACGTAATGCAAATATGTTCTAGAGAAATTACTTAACAGGATTGATTTTGGTTCATTATGAGGCCATTTACATATTGAAGTAACAATATTTTATTAATTCAGTGAGTATTGAGCTTAGTTGTACTCATGAGACCTTAAAGTTCATATGATTATTTTTCTCATATTTATTAATTCAGGTTGTGATGGAATTTGAAGAGAAGCCAGTGTTCCCACCTCCTCTTATCATTCTGTCTCACATTCATCGCGCCATTAAGTATTGCTTCAGACGATGGAAAGGAAAGCCATTCCTGTATGATAATGGCCTCAAGTTATTCCTCGATGGTGAAAGTCTTGAGCGAGTACATGACTTTGAAGAAGAGTGTGTGGATGGCTATAACAGAGAGAAGGAGCAGAAAGAACAGATGAGTACAGAGGTATGTCTTCTCTGTGGGTTTTCTAGGAAGGGACATGATGCAATTACTGATTTTAAAATTTATAATTGTCAGTGACTTCACTGATCAAGTTTACATTTTGCAAATCTTTCTGTTATCACTTGCCAATAGCAGAAACTATTTGGATTTTAACAAATAAAGAAGCAGGTATGACTAGAGATTTAATTCCATCAGTTCTTTTGATATCTAACACAGTGAAGCCTTTATCCTCCATATCTTTCATATTCATTTTCTAGATCTAAATTTTTTTCTACATTATTTGTACAGGAACGAGTTCGAGTGATGGCAGAGCGATCAGAATCACTGATGCAGAGAGTGGAAGACATGCATGGCAAATTTCTAGCAGCAATGAGCTCCTTAAACAGCCTTGATTTCCATGTTAAGAGGCTGGAAGAAATAGCAGAACAAACAAAAAATAGTTATGCTGTTGTCCATCGTTTTATGCTGAGCCATGTTGGCAGACCAAGGAGATCAAGCTCTCCCCGCTCAGGGTCTGCCAGTCCACGTTCTGATGGGGGAACTCCGCGTTCTCTCTCTCAGACAAGTCTTCATCAGTTATTGGAAGAGGCTGAACGTCAGATGCTAAGGAAACCTCTTCAGGAACCAGAAACTAGTGACAAAGAGCAGAGTGACACCACAGATGCTGAGCATGAGGCAGCAAATAAATTTTTGAAGTCCTCCCCAACTGCTCAAAGTTCAAGAGAACCTGGAAAACCAACCACAGTGGATGAAGGAATAGTGAGAGGCTTCAGTCTAGATCCAGTCAATATTTCAGCAGAAGCAAGAAAAGTAAAAACACAGGGTCGACGCAAGACTAGATTGGACTCTGAGTCAGGTAGTTCTCTGGGCCGTGCATCTCGTGAGCGTAAGCTTTCTGGAGAAAGGAAGAGCAGTATCCGTAAATCTTCAAGGAAGGGCTCAGATGGGGCAAGGGCATTTAGCCCATCTAGGGTATGTTTCATGGATATTAATGTTGCATTAGAAGATTCTGATTCTGGAGATGTAGATGCAAAAGAGAAAAATCTCACTGAAGAAGAGGAGCAACCAAGGTATGGTAGATCAGTATCCGTTCCAGATGAGGCAGCAGTTCGCTCTCCAACCAGGTATGAGAGGAGTCTTTCTTCTGTTTCAAGTCGACCAAGGATTCAGGTGATACCACCATCATCACCACCCCCTATCTTTACTTTTACTAGTGAGTACACAAGTTTGGCCGATGAGTTGGAGACAGCATGCATGGCTAGATTGTCTCCACCTTCTTCTCCAAACCTCCATTATCCTCATAGAAGTGATCCCCATTTAAGGCGACGGCACTTCTCAGAATCTGCCAGTATTTCCATTACTATCTGTCCTAATCCTCTCCGTGATGCTGAAGAAGCAGATTATCAACTTATGGAAGGACTAATTCAGAGAAGAATGCATAGAGATTCAGAAAACTTGGCTGTTTCACTAGAGGACCTCTGCTCAGTACAAACAGACATGTCTGACAATGAAGAAGGAGTGACTCCAATGCGTTCCCGCCGCGGTTCAAGAGCAGCAGAACTTCGAAAAAGACATAGCACAAGTAGCCTTGACAATGCCCCTTCACAACTACTAGTTGTGCCTGGGGCGGTTCAAATGGCCACCTCTTACACAATATCCCCAACAACTCTTCAAGCTGCACTTCGAGGTGAAGATGGTGTCCGGCTGGCATCCTCAACACCTGGAACTCCAGGAGCACGTCGATCTTCCCTGAGAGGAGATCTGCATCACCAGTGGGCTTCCTCAAGTGCTTTGCCAGCATCTGGAGGATGGCTGTCACCGAGAATTCCCCGTCCACGAACTCCACCATTCATACATCCTGATAATCCTGCATCATCCTCTGTTGATGGTGAGGGTGCCAGAAATGTTTCACAAGGTGAAGAACATCCTCACATGTCAACTCTACAAGTGCCAAGCATTAGAGAATCTGAAGGTAGGCCAAGGGACACAATTACGGAAACAGAATGTTAAAATACATGGCATATTCTGTGGAAAGGCTAGTCAAGAAAACATGTGAAGGAAAAAGAAATGTGCTTATACTTCAGTGGTGAAATTTATTTATGGAATTCAGAATACTAAGAAAAGCATGTCTGTAAGTGCATGTGTGGTGTGTGTATGTATAGAATGCAAGTATTTGAGCATGAATGTATTTGAAATCATACATTCACACGAGGTCATTTCTTCATTATGAGTATCCATTTCGACACCTAAGGAGTTTTTAAAAATGAAAAATAAATTTGTTGATATAGAGAATATATTTGTGCTACTCCTTTGTTATCCCAGTTGTTGGACTTCATTATCCACCTTGGTGTCTCACACTCATAGGAAAGGGGATATGGCATTGTATACAGACCATATACTGTAGAGGATGAATAAAACATCTTGTGCAGAATTTTTTGCCATTTTTACGCATTTTCACAATGTTATCATATAGGACTGTATTTACAGCTTATCAAAAGATGACTTTAATGGGAAGTGTGAAATTTAAGGCTATGTTTCCATAAGTTAATGTTATCCATGCTGTAACAATTAAATGATAAATGAAATTGATAACTAAATATTTATTCAGTAGCACAATCAGATTTTTACAAAGAACCTGCTGCCTGTGTATGCTGCCGTTTTATTCATCTGTCTGTGGTTACCAAGGTTACCATCTTGCTGTATGAATTTAAACATTCCTTAATGTTTTTCTTTATAGTTTTGTATTGATTCTCTTGTCAAGAATGTTTACATTATATTTTTCTTAGTTGTTCTCACTTCTTTATCTGTTATGCAGTTGAAATCTGCTCACTATTTGTTGATAATGTTATGGGAACACTTTTGCCAGGAGTAAATAAATGAAGTTCATGAAGAGCACAAGTAATTGTTATGTTGATATCTGGTGACATTCAGATTTGCAGAACTCCCAAGCTGCTAAAAGTTATTCCTTCTAGACTGAAGAGATGACTCTTCATAGTAGAATAAGGACAAGCATAGAAGCTGTGACTTTGCAGTCTCTGTTCAGGGTATCCAAGGACAGGCATGTCTTGTGTGCTGCCCATAGAGGCCTGCTCATTCAGTTAAGTGGCTATGTCTGTATGTGCTATAGGTGAGTGTGGATAAGTCAGTAGATAAATAAACTGATGTTGTGCCACTGTATAGAATATGGGAATAACCACTTGAGAGATACTGTCATACTCCAACTTGGCTGTGGCTATTGTTATGATATATTTATTTATCTCATATTTATTTCTCATTTGGTTTGCTGTATGTACCTGCCTGGAGGTCTTAGGCTTCTGTTTTCTTAAATTATATAATGGTTTACCTTCATTTAGCAGTGACACAAGGTATAGCAACAGCATTTCACATACTTATGACAAATCCTTATTCAGTGTTATACTGAGTTAGTTTTTTTTTTTTTTTTTTTTTTTTTTTTTTTTTTTTTTTTTTTTTTTTTTTTTTTTTTTTTTTTTTTTTTTTTTTTTTTTTTTTTTTTTTTTTTTTTTTTTTTTTTTTTTTTTTTTTTTTTTTTTTTTTTTTTTTTTTTTTTTTTTTTTTTTTTTTTTTTTTTTTTTTTTTTTTTTTTTTTTTTTTTTTTTTTTTTTTTTTTTTTTTTTTTTTTTTTTTTTTTTTTTTTTTTTTTTTTTTTTTTTTTTTTTTTTTTTTTTTTTTTTTTTTTTTTTTTTTTTTTTTTTTTTTTTTTTTTTTTTTTTTTTTTTTTTTTTTTTTTTTTTTTTTTTTTTTTTTTTTTTTTTTTTTTTTTTTTTTTTTTTTTTTTTTTTTTTTTTTTTTTTTTTTTTTTTTTTTTTTTTTTTTTTTTTTTTTTTTTTTTTTTTTTTTTTTTTTTTTTTTTTTTTTTTTTTTTTTTTTTTTTTTTTTTTTTTTTTTTTTTTTTTTTTTTTTTTTTTTTTTTTTTTTTTTTTTTTTTTTTTTTTTTTTTTTTTTTTTTTTTTTTTTTTTTTTTTTTTTTTTTTTTTTTTTTTTTTTTTTTTTTTTTTTTTTTTTTTTTTTTTTTTTTTTTTTTTTTTTTTTTTTTTTTTTTTTTTTTTTTTTTTTTTTTTTTTTTTTTTTTTTTTTTTTTTTTTTTTTTTTTTTTTTTTTTTTTTTTTTTTTTTTTTTTTTTTTTTTTTTTTTTTTTTTTTTTTTTTTTTTTTTTTTTTTTTTTTTTTTTTTTTTTTTTTTTTTTTTTTTTTTTTTTTTTTTTTTTTTTTTTTTTTTTTTTTTTTTTTTTTTTTTTTTTTTTTTTTTTTTTTTTTTTTTTTTTTTTTTTTTTTTTTTTTTTTTTTTTTTTTTTTTTTTTTTTTTTTTTTTTTTTTTTTTTTTTTTTTTTTTTTTTTTTTTTTTTTTTTTTTTTTTTTTTTTTTTTTTTTTTTTTTTTTTTTTTTTTTTTTTTGGAAGTGTGAAATTTAAGGCTATGTTTCCATAAGTTAATGTTATCCATGCTGTAACAATTAAATGATAAATGAAATTGATAACTAAATATTTATTCAGTAGCACAATCAGATTTTTACAAAGAACCTGCTGCCTGTGTATGCTGCCGTTTTATTCATCTGTCTGTGGTTACCAAGGTTACCATCTTGCTGTATGAATTTAAACATTCCTTAATGTTTTTCTTTATAGTTTTGTATTGATTCTCTTGTCAAGAATGTTTACATTATATTTTTCTTAGTTGTTCTCACTTCTTTATCTGTTATGCAGTTGAAATCTGCTCACTATTTGTTGATAATGTTATGGGAACACTTTTGCCAGGAGTAAATAAATGAAGTTCATGAAGAGCACAAGTAATTGTTATGTTGATATCTGGTGACATTCAGATTTGCAGAACTCCCAAGCTGCTAAAAGTTATTCCTTCTAGACTGAAGAGATGACTCTTCATAGTAGAATAAGGACAAGCATAGAAGCTGTGACTTTGCAGTCTCTGTTCAGGGTATCCAAGGACAGGCATGTCTTGTGTGCTGCCCATAGAGGCCTGCTCATTCAGTTAAGTGGCTATGTCTGTATGTGCTATAGGTGAGTGTGGATAAGTCAGTAGATAAATAAACTGATGTTGTGCCACTGTATAGAATATGGGAATAACCACTTGAGAGATACTGTCATACTCCAACTTGGCTGTGGCTATTGTTATGATATATTTATTTATCTCATATTTATTTCTCATTTGGTTTGCTGTATGTACCTGCCTGGAGGTCTTAGGCTTCTGTTTTCTTAAATTATATAATGGTTTACCTTCATTTAGCAGTGACACAAGGTATAGCAACAGCATTTCACATACTTATGACAAATCCTTATTCAGTGTTATACTGAGTTAGTTTTTTTTTTTCTCTCTCTCTCTTCTATATTTTGGAAAATAGCTGAAACAAACACATTTTCAGGGTTATTAGTGCTGTTCACTGGTCACCCTTGGTCCATTATTATTTAACTTGTTTTGAAAGTAGGATGATACAAAGCAGTGAACTCTGTATGTTAATAGATAAAATAGAGTAATGAACATGGTTGTAGTTTATATGGCTTTTCCATTCTGCAATTACCTACACCAATAGTTAATATTTATTAAATCTTCCAGCTCATTTACTTCTCTCATTCTTACTGCTTCTCTTACATGCTGGGATGAAGTTTTTTCTGGTTGTTTATTGTTTCCAGGCTCTTTAACTGGGAAAGCCATTTGTCTTTATCTAAATTAACATTCAGAAAAGGGAAATATTTTTGTAATGTAATTTTGGTTGATGTTCAGTAACCTTTTCAAAAAATCCTCAAAAAAAAATATTTTATCTTTATATACTTGATTCCACTTTGTATATGTTAGCTCATTTCAGTGTGATACCATAGGCAACAACTATAACAGCCCAGACTAAAGAGTAATACACAATGCACGCTCACACATTTCACACAAACAAACACATGTATATGAGCATGCACAACCACACACATACAGAAAAAGATAAATGTATTGTGTGTGGATGTACATATAATATCAGCTATAATCAGAAACAATCAAAGGTATAATTATATTGAGCATGTTCATATTCAAACATAAGGCATACATGACAGCATCTACATACCTTTTCATATCATGTATTGTTGTCCACAGTTCTAGTCAATCTTCCAGGTCACATTTCATAAGAAGACTGCTGTTTTGTCTTAAAAAAAAACACTGATTTGATATTTTAAACTTTATAAATGTTGCCATTTATTTAAAAAGACAGTAGTAACTTTGGAAACAAAGGGAGGCAACAGTTTGTTTTGAATTATCACAATATTATTGCACTGTTAATTCAATCACTTAGTATTTTTAGAATGTGTGATCTATGATCATATTCTATTGTATTTAGTTAATTATTATTATTATTATTGGTTTTCTTTTCTTCTTACAAACATTCTAATTTTCAATTTATCTATATGATAACGATGCCATAAAGTGAAACAAAGTATTCTCTTGTTATTTTGCACCATGTTTTTAAATTTTGAAATGGAGTTAAAGATTATATATTTGTAAATAGCCATTATAATAGCCTACCTAAAAATAATATCGATTCCATGCAGTGCACACCTGTATACTAGAAATTAATAGTGTTGTGCACAGGTTATCAAAATATACTACAGACCATCCTGTTTCTCCAGTTGTACATAGATGTATTAAGTCCTTATTAAAGACTTGTTGATTTTTATAGATGAAAATTGTATCATACCTCAAATCAAAATTGTTATTGTTGATGGGGATCACAAAGTCTGGTGATGTTCTTTTGCAGATTGTGATTTATGTCTGACAAGTTAATTGGTATGGAGGAATACTTATTCTGGGTTTTATTTGTAAACCTAAATTATTTGAGAATATTTGCATTTCTCTATCCCTGGTTGGGTAAACACTTGTAATATTATGTATTGATATGAATTTTTTATGTAATCATGAAAACTCATTTTTGTAACACTCATGTTAATGAATTGTACATCTGAAAAGATGAGACATAAAAAAGATGACTTTCATTATTAAAAATCAAGCAATAATATTTACTGTTAACTTGTTGACTTTTTAC